ATAGTCACAATTTTTTTTTATAAGCATTTAAAGTTCAAATTTTGACTAAATACGTAAAAATTATGGCAATGTTCAAATTATCTTAGATATAATAAATATAATATAATATAATTAATATAATAAACCGTGCATGTTCAAGTATAGCAATGCTCGTATAGTATCTATATAAAATGTATTTCGATGATATCGATGGCATACTTTTTKGAAATAAAATGTGAGCGTGATCGTTATACAATATTATGTGTATTATAAGAAAGGCGGACGACTCTCATCCGGTCCTGACGAATCGAGACGAGAAGAGAAAAAACAAAAAAACCATTTACGTAAGTACCTACATAATATTATATAATGGTATACAGAGATCTGCGACTAATAGTGTAAGCACTTATCTACCACGGTGACCGATTTTATTCATTTTTGGAACATTAATCGGTTTTCGGTTTACGAACATTTGTTGTACGTATTTATTTTTATCTATATTTATCTTAGTTCCTTGCGCGACCTGTTCAAACGTTGTGAACATTTGAGTGATTTAAAATTTGTGCGTTTAATGGTGAAATATATATTACACGTGATTCCCAATACATTACCAWAATAGCAAAAAAACATATCGACGTCATTCCATTGTGTTACGTTTTATTATTAATTTATGATCACACTTATAAAATTACTAGTATTTCAGAGAACCAAATTTCAAGTGAAAAAAAGACTAATGAGTATATTATTATTATTATTATATTTCTACTTCTGAAGGAATTTCGAAGTAATAGCATTAAGATAATACAAGACATTAAAAATAACGTTATAATCAGTATGATCTTGTTAAGAAGTTTTCTAAAATATACAATACGGAATCTTTGACTGATGAGTCGAGACTAGAGGAGAACAAACATTCCAAAAAGAAAACGATCTACTCACAAGTGAATAATAATATATAATATAATAATTTACTAAGCTCTGAAACTAATACCATTGTGTACCAATCTACCACATAAACGGAATATATATTATTAATATTGCAAACATCAATCGGATATCGGTGTACGGATAGTTGAAGTTGTTCGCGCGTGGTTTATCCAAACGATGTGCAGAGTTGAGTAACTCAAAATTTGCAATTCCACTGGTGTAGTGTATAATAAATATACCTACGGTTCTCAATACATCATCCTAATAAGTGAAGACCATTCTAAGTCATACATTTTCGTTTCGTTTCTTTTTTCCAAATATATTATCGACTATTCGTTATTTCTTCATTTTCCGTGGCATTCGTTTGACAGGGGTATGGCTATAGAATATGCGAGTATACATTACCATTATATACGGGCGTGTGTAGTATTTACATATTAAAACATTTTTTCTTTTCGTCGTTTACGTCAAACGTCGACGGGCAAAAAAAACGGCAATACGCACGCGTGGACGTGACGTTKACGAAAAACTTTTTATTCTGGCTTATGCAAATCAAACATCCATTTTAACTTTATCGTTTTTTGGACCAAAATATTTTGCGTCCATTTCTCGAGGGTTTGCTGCAAAAGTGTTTTTTGTTTGAGAATTATTAT